TTCACACTTCAATTAAAGGAGTGTAGGGTTTTTGCCAAGTATAAACCAATTAGTCACTGAGGAAATATCTTTGAATTTACTATACGTAAATACTGTACAATGTTATTTGAATATGGTATGATCGAGTACAAAGCTCACACTGAAACTGTTATGGGTGGAGTCATCCAGGTGATTATACCACTTTAAATGTCAGTTTCTTTTTTCCTACACATGGTTTTACATGCGTTAACATGTATTTAGTCAGCTGCACATTCGATTTGGGGGATTACATTTTTTCATTCCATTTATGCTCTTGGTAACATTTTGTATTTTAAAAAGAGTTGTGAATCTTATATTCAGCACTTAAATTTTACTTGAAGATGTGAGGTGCTTAATAGTTTTCAATAGCCAGTTGGAACATGCGATTGTAGGCTTTTTTGTTGGAGTCCTGTAGAGTAGCACCCTCACCTCGCAAACGAGAGGACCCCGGTTTGTTTCCTTACTCCACACGCCTCTGTTTATTTAGAAGTAAGTAGGAACCCGGTTGTTAGTTGATTGGTGGATCACTTTCTGGTGGTAATAATCCCTCCAAATCATTCAGATTATACAATCGCCCTTCCCTAACCAACTTGGATACTCCAGACTTTTTCTTTGAATACTTAATGCTTTTATGCAACAGGATAGTTTGCTTTGGTAGGAGATATATATGATGGCTAATTTTGTGTCATTTGTTTGATGTATGAAATTCTGTTGATTTTGTCTTAATCTCAGTGGTAAATAATGAGAAGCTGAGTAATAATAATAATCCTTGCATTTGACATTTCACATCTTCCAGACGTCTCAAAGTGCTTCACAGAATATACTGTAAAGTGAATTAACTGTATATTTGTGGGCAAAACGCGGCAGCCAATTATGCACAGCAGTGACCCACAAACAGTCGTGGATTGAAGTGACCAATTTTTTTTTGAGGGTTTATTATTAGGCGTGTGGACTAAGGAAACTTGCCCAAGGTTTTGCCCTGCCAGGAAACGAACCCAGGTCTCTCTCTTGCAAAGCTAGTGCTCTGTAACCGGTGAACTACAGGACTCCACGGGTGGGTTGAACACTGGAATTGTGTGTCAACTTGGATTAGTTGGTATCACTCGCCTGAGTCAGAAGATTGTAGATTCAAACCCCCACATTGGGACTTTGAGCTCATTGTCTAGGCTGACGCTCAAATCCAGTACCAGGTGAATGCAGTGTTGTCAGGAGTGTCATTCTGCTGGTGTCCTAGACAATAATCCCCAAAATAAAAATGGTCATTCACTTCATTGAGGTATTTTTGAGGCATTGCTGGATGTAAATTGGCTTCTGCATTCACCTGCATTATGTAACATTATGCAACTATTTTATAGTAAATCCCATAAAGTGCTTTAAGATGTCCTCCTGATGTGAAAGGCACTATATCAAAGGCAAGGATTATTATTATTGGGTACTGAAACTGAATCCAAATAAATCTGCCAGCCCTTCACCAATTTGAGGTTAAAAGAATTAAACCATGTCTAAAAATAAGCCTTGAGGGATTATCTTTACAGAGGGGAAAGGGGAGGAGTAGCGAGTGGGAGGAAGAGATGTGGAGGAAGTGAGGGGACTTTTTGTAGCTACCCTCGCAAAGTAATCAAAGGCAAACCTGGAGGGGTAGGGACTACATTCAACTCTGCAAACCAGAACCCTAGCTGGTGAGGGGGTGGTCCAGCTAGACTAGTACCATGTTGATAAGTAAGTGATGATTAATTTTTGCATCCCCAATAGTAATGAATCTAGGAGTGCCAAATTACTAGGTACAATGTACTAATGTTTTATTGCTATTTATGCAAGAACTAACTGTGTGTTTCTCAGGAACTCGGAAAACCCAGTTACAAAGTGGAAACTAACACTTGAGCAATTTATGTAGTAGCTACTTGTGTTCCTCGGTTAGTAATCTTTTACTGCAGTAATTTTCATAGAACAGTTCATGCCATTTACACTTTGCTTCTCCCCCCCACACACACACTTATCAGTGATTAATATATGGCCTATGCCCACAATTCATGTTTCCAAGTGAATGGAAAATTTGTCATGATTTTTTTGGTATCACAGTTTAAGCCCTGTGACTAGTTGCATTCATGCCATGAGCAAGCAAGCACCTGACTTTCCATTGCTACATCTTACTGTCTGAGAAATGGTATTTTCCCCTGTTCTTTGATGCTACAAAGATGAGTATTGTATTGCACTCAGTAACAGCTATTGTTAGTTGCATCATTTCATGAAGGCAACCTTCAGGACAGAATTCGGTAATGTATTTCAAGTGAAAAGTGAATAGGATTTTGTGCCCATTGCATTAATGCTACATTGTTCTCGCATTTTTGGCATTGCAGAATAATCTTTTATCCTGTACAATCTCCAAATCTTCAGGAGAACGTCAGCAATTTCAAAGAAATAAGCAGTTTGAGTTGATAGTGAAACCAGCTAGATAAAGAGACTTCATACTATACCGCTTGCTAGATTCATCCTGTACTCAACCATCATTTTATTCCACATGTAATGCTCCTTGTCTTTTTTTAAACAGTAATATTTTCACCTGATCTGGCTGAAAATTAATACTTCAGGCTGTTAACTGGCTTTCATTTCCATTCCTGTTTTATATTTTGTTGTTTGCATAAAAAAAGAACTTCATTTTTCTTAACGTTCAGACATTTTGTTTCCCAACATTGTGTTTTTTATACTTTCCTACCTAAACATTTACTTATTCTTTCACGTGTTGGGAATGAGTTCATTGAAATCTCATTTCTCCAAAGTGCAAAATGTCTTCAATTTTTATTGTTTCAGACTTCTATCCCCGCATTTATTTTATGACTTTGTCATTTTCTGTAGCTCATACTTTCCTTGCCTTTAAAGATGAGAAGTTACGTGGGAGTTTGTTAATTCTGAACTTTCCCCAACTTGGCAGAAAATCCCCGCCTAACTGTTACAGAAGATTGTGCTTCAAGATGGTTTGGTCCATAACCTTTGTAATTATAATGATATTTGTCAGTAAAGTGAAATAGGAGCAAGATGTCTCCAGTTTCCTACACCTTAATCTGCCAAACTGCAACCATCCTTATCACTGTATTTCTCTACTTTTACCTGCTCAATATTCCAGCAGCATTATGGTAAAGTCAATGAATTTATAGATTATATATTATGCAATAGCAAATAGCTTTTAGTGAATTGATTGAGTCCACAGTTCTATGGCCTTTGATGTCATCCAAACATCTTGACTCAGTTCCTGCTATGTAATCCTCTTATTAGCTATTTGCTACTTTTTGTAGTTTATTTGATTGAGATGTATACAAAACGTCAATTGCTAAATATCATTTGAGAAATTTGCAATGATTGCATTGAGGTTGTTCAACTGTCAATGTGATTGCTGCGTGTGTATTACCTTCATCATTTATCAACTGGAGGGATGTTCTAGCCATCTGCCAGGGACAAACCTCCTCTCATTACCTCCAGAGTATATTGTTCAAGATTTGATGACCTGCAAAATTATTCCAAATCGTGAATAGTATTCAATAATGGTTACAAACCAGTGTCTACTTTACCAATGCACAGTCATTACACTTCACCGTGAAATCCCGTGAAGCTCTTTGCGACGTCTCGACTCTGGGATAAGGTGTCAAATATCAAATGGAAAGATTATTCTAATTACCATATTTCTTGTTCTAATTAAATAGCTTAATATCTGTTTTCCAATTTAATAGGGCTGTGGTGAATTGTGTGCTGAACAAGGCCGTTTTACTAGGCAGCACCACAGTAACTATACTTTTGAGTTAAGAAATAGCTTTATGTTAATTTGGGACAAACAGAGATGGAATTTCAACAAGGTGATTTTTTTTTCTCAACAAAAAGTTTTACTTCGAATGGGAAATTTTCCTCTCTCACAAGGGACTGTTTTCAAAATGTACTAAAAGTTTAGGTGGTAAAGGTTTTAATAATGTTCCAGTTCTGTTTTAACATGTTGAAAGTATGATGGTACGGTAACACTAACCGGATAGGAGCTTGACATTCAGTGCTTTCCAAATGCCGCCTGTGCAAGTTTCATAACTTCCTACATGCAGAGCAACAGCATTCAGACTGCTCCTTTGCTAAAAGAACTAGTTAGATCTGAAGTACAAATATATTGTGTCTATCCAAGGATGCACACCTCACCAAGGCAGTCCAGAACCTCGAGTTTGACCCTCAACTATCATTTCTACCCAATATCCATCCCATGACCCACTCTGCTTTCCCCCACTTCCGCAACATCGCCCGGCTCTGCCACTGCCTCACACCGCAGGCTGCCAAAACCCTCATACACGCATTCATAACATACAGGCTTGACTACGCAAACTCCCTGCTTGTCGGCCTCCCCAACTCCTCCCTGCATAGGATGCAGATCATCCAGAACTCTGCAGCCCGTGTCCTCTCCCGTACCAGGCTCCGTGACCCCATCACCCCCCTCCTCGCCTGACTCCATTGGCTACCCATCACAGAGGATACAGTTCGAGATCCTGGTCATCACCTTCAAAGCCGTCCATGGCCTTGCTACTCCTACCTCTGCAATCTCCTAACCCCCACCAATCTACCCATTCCCGCCGCTCAGCGGGCTCCGGCCTGCTTCACGTTCTCCCACCTCATCTGCCCCACCATTGGCAGGCGGACATTCAGCCACTCTGCCTCTAACATCTGGAACTCCATCCCGCAGTCTCTCCGCCTCGCCCCCTCACTTGCCTCCTTCAAGACCCGTCTCAAGACCCTCCTCTTCGACCGTGCATTTGATCACCCTTTTTCCCCCTGCCCCCCCCCCCCACCTGTCCAGCACCCTCCCTGATCCCGACCCCCAGCTCGGGTCCGAAACACTTGATTGTCCAGCGCCTTGGGACGTCCTCCTGACATGAAAGGCGCTGTAAAATGTAATTTTGTTGTTGTTGCTGTCTATTAAACAGAAGCTTAACTATCCAACTGTTTGCTTTTGAATCCAGCTTCTTGATGTAGTTTCTCACCTTGCACAACAAGGCCTGCGACTACTTGTGTTGGGTCGCAAGCACATGCTGAGAGGAACTCGTAGCTGGGACAGAAATCACATGGCTGCTGTACAAAAGTATGCTGATTGCTTCTTCACAGAAGACATGTAAGTTAAGTTCTGTACAGAATATCGACAAGAATATCCCAGAACAGTGGCGGCCAATCTTTATGGTCGGTCAACCAAATAGCATATTTCTTTCTTGAATTTTTCTTCATTTATGGCTGGCCATGAGTATTGCGACTCAGTAGCTACTGGAAACAAGGTAATGATTTGGCGGAGACTTGCCTTGACTGGTGCAGATGTTCTGCAGGGCGCTTCTTGACGATGCCCCAAAAGTGGCCTGCGGCCCACTGCATTACACTGGTAACTTTTCAATAAAGAAAAATCTATTTCGTTGGCTGACCCAAAACTTTGACCATCCACTGTCCTAGAACATGCTACAAATATCGACTTTTGTTAAGAAAAAAACCAGCTTGTAAATTTTAATTTGGCTGATTCCCCCCAAAAAGGATCTAGTAACTTTATTCTAAGGAATTTAGTTTATTTATTCAGAATAATGAACCAGCAAAAAAAATTTTATTGTAAAATATTACAAAATAAAGATACAATTTACATTTATTTAAAAAGAAATTTTCAGTGTAATTCCCAATGATTTTTAATTGCCAACTTGTGTTTAAATCTGTGAGTATCTGAATTAGGACGGTGAATGATTGCTTTACTAACCATAATGGCAACCAGAGTAAAGTGTCTTCAAGTTGTTGTGTCCAACTTGTATCTTTGTGTATATATTTCCAGATTGTATTCCTCAGTAGCAAGTATAACAAATACTTTTATTTTTTTCATTTAGCTCTGAAGATGACCCTTTTCTGTTATATGCAACAATCCAGTCAGGCAATCACTGTAGATTCCTTAGTAGAGATTTAATGCGGGATCATAAAGCTTGTTTGGTTGACACCAGCACCCAAAGATTATTCTTCAAGTGGCAGCGTGGACACCAACTTGTCCTGTCAACATACAATCCATGGGGCAAAATAAAATTTGAGGTGAGTAGCAGAGCTCAAAAACAAAATAAACACTTTATTTTAACAACACAAAATCCTTTTTAAAAAAATCATAAACCAATTGAGCTTTAAGTGGATAACATGTAACTTATGTAATCACCTGAAATACACTAGGCCAAAGTTATTTTGGACCTAGAGATCTTTCACAAAACACAAGAGTTCACTGTTGCAGAGAAAAGTCCATTTTCATTCACTATTCCTGAATCTCCTAGGAGAGCCGTCTCCACAATATTGTTTGGCTGCCGATTCCCATTCATGAATCTCTTTAATTAATCTCTTCATTGTTACTGTATCTTTGAGCCAGACACACCGAACTATTTTATGTTAAAATGCACACAAGCTTAAAATTTGACTATTGCATCTATTTCTTGCAAATTGCTTGGTTGGTGTAATTGTTCCTTTTAAGCTCATAAGGCTCTAACAATGTGTTTTTTAGAAATGTGGGAAATATGGTGTATTTGTGATGATTTGCATGTGACCTGACTTCTGTCTTCCTTTTTCCCTAATAGATCATGCCACAGTATGACACTATAGTACAGACCACGGGTGACACCTGGCATATACCATATGATGAAGAAGGAGTCGAGAGATGCTCCTATGAAGTTCCACATAAATGGTTATGTCTTAAAAAACACTGAGGAAAAACATCAGCTGCAAATTTTGACGATGCTAAGATTGTGTCAAATACCAAGCAAATACCCCTTGGTTAGAAGAAAACATTGTTGTAAATATATGTAAATTGATTATTTGAATTTAATTTGCCACATGTGTATAATTTTTTTAAATAAAATTGAAAGCATAAGATGACTTGTGATTTCTGTACAATATATGCAATTTACCATTACTCTTTTCATTGAGGGAACACAAATCTTTTTTAAAACAAGTTTAAAACTTGTTGCACATAGCTTCACTAACGGTTCCAGATTTGACATTTTAACTAAGATCAATATTACTCTCTGTGTGTGGGGGTGGTATTTGGAATTAAACAATAACTCACAACAGACTATTGTGCCAAGTACTGTTGTGTGCTCTGCCAGATATTAATCAGCAGTTGGATTGAATACCTTAAGGGAAATTCCTCTGTCATAAAAGATTGCAGAAATTTAATACTGAGTGTTTGTATTGATAGATGAAACATATCCAGGGTGATGGTCTATGCAAAAGCAACTACTGGACTCAGAACGCACACTTCATAGTGGAATATATAAAAATTATCACAGTGACCATCAGTTGAAGTTTATTTGGGGTACATTGACACTATCCAATTCAAAGATCTAATTTATTCCACTTTAGTTTAAAATGCAATACTGGAGGGGAGCCAAAGGAGGGAAACACCAGGTAAAATTACTGTAGGAAACTGAAGCTAAAGTGTCAACTAATGCTGTTAAAATAACAAGATACTAGTTATGAAGGATCATTATTCTGTTCACAATAGCGTCAGCTTGAATACAAGAACAATCGGTGATCAGTTCCTAAAATGCTTAGGCTTGGAATGGTTTTGTACATTACATAGCTTTTTCTATGTCATGCTCCCTAATAAAGCCAGATAAAACCCCTCGTTTGCTTTTGTTGCCTTCTCTGCATTCCAAAGTTGTAATTGTGTTAAGTCATCAAACCAACAGCCAGAGTAAACTACTTCAAATATGCCAGACATTTTATGTGCCTTGAACAAATAACAAAATAGTCACAACTAGATAGGCCTCCAGTTGATTTTTAAACCCTCTAATGCATTATCTACTCAAACAAGAAAGGAATAAACAGATCCCACTGCTCAAACTTAAACTGCACAAGTGTGGGTTCAATTGCCAGGCAGGGCAAAAATGTTCCTGATTCACTGGCTTAAAATGTTCCTGATAAGACTGCAAATGATAAAGGCTCAACACTGTAAAGTGTAGTGATTGCATATTTTGCAGACAAACCTGACAGGCAAGTTCCACAAATAGCCATGGAGTGAGTAACTAGTTGTATTCGGCAGATTGTTGGCCTGAGGGAAACAATTTCAAGGGCCGCCATGGGATCTTTAACCTTCACCAGAACATGCAGACGGGACCTCGATTTAGCGTCTCATCTAAAGAATGGCACCTCTGACAACACAGCATTGCCCCTGGCACTGCGCTTGGGAGCTTCAGCGTGGACGGTAGATGGTGAGCTCAAAGCCCCAGTGTGGGGGTCAGAGCTCCAGCCCAGTCATCAGGAATCCTGCATCACATTGGTTGGAGCACTTTCCTCGCAAGCAAGAGGATCTGGAGTCAATTGCCAGGCAGGGAGAAACATTAGGAAGTTTCTTTATTCCACACGTCTGTATACCCAGCAGTAAGTAGGAACCAGGTTGTTAGTCGATTGGCAGATCTCTTTTTTGAGGGTAATAATTCCTTGGGGGGGAAAAAATAATTAATAATAATTTGGTCACTCAATCCACCAGAGTTTGCGAGCCACTGCAGTGCGCGATTGATTGGCTGCCGCCTTTCACCCACAAAACGTACGGTCAGCTCACTTATACAGTGTATCCCGTGAAGCGTTTTGTTGGGAGACATCTCGAGGAAGGGATAAGGCACCGTGTCAAAGGTGAGGGGTATTATCGTCATTATCATTATGAGGATTAATAGTTATCAGGCTTGAGAGGAGAGAGAAACCGACCGACCGACCGACCGACCCGGCCTGCAATGCACCCTCTGAAATATTAGAAAGGCAATCAAGAGAAAGGCACAATACGAGCATTAAGACACTCAGCTCTGGCTCTGTGTCTGTCTGTCACTGTGTCTGTCTGTCTGTCTGTCAGTCTCTGTGTCTGTCTCTGTGTCTGTCTGTCTGTCACTGTGTGTCTATGTCTGTCAGTGTGTCTGTGTCTGTCACTGTGTGTCTGTATCTGTCTGTCACTGTGTGTGTGTCTGTCTCTGTGTGTCTGTCACTGTCTGTCTGTCACTGTGTCTGTCTGTCTGTCACTGTGTGTCTATGTCTGTCACTGTGTGTCTGTATCTGTCTGTCACTGTGTGTGTGTCTGTCTCTGTGTGTCTGTCACTGTCTGTCTGTCACTGTGTCTGTCTGTCTGTCACTGTGTGTCTATGTCTGTCACTGTGTCTGTCACTGTGTGTCTGTATCTGTCTGTCACTGTGTCTGTCTGTCTGTCACTGTGTGTCTATGTCTGTCACTGTGTCTGTCACTGTGTGTCTGTCTGTCACTGTGTCTGTCTGTCTGTCACTGTGTGTCTATGTCTGTCACTGTGTCTGTCACTGTGTGTCTGTATCTGTCTGTTTGCCAACTCCACTGTGACCTGTGTGGCTGCAGTGCTGTGTGGGGAGTGTTTCCGGGTCACGGAGCTCAGTTTCCGGCGGCCTCTCTGTCTCTCGCTCTCGCGGCGCTGTATGTGTTTCTCCCGCTCGGGCTCTTTGTGAACGAAAAAAAATGTCCCGGGGATCGAGCGCCGGTTTCGACCGTCACATCACCATCTTCTCTCCGGAGGGCAGGTTATACCAAGTAGGTGAGTGTCCGTCCCCCCCAACCCGCCAGCGGCCTCCCCCCACCCCCCCCCTCCACCCCGGAGCAGGAAGTGTGAGGCCGGGAGGGAGAGCGCGACAACTGCCCAGTCATCCAGGCCCCGAGCCCCGTCACACACACACACAGACACACACACACAGTCACACACACACACAGTCACACACACACACACTCTCACTCTCACACACACACACAGTCACACACACACAGTCACACTCTCTCAAACACACACACACACAGTCACACTCTCACAAACACAGTCACAACTCACACACACACACACAGTGATACACACACAGTCACAGTCATACACACACACACAGTCACACACACACAGTCACACTCACACACACACACACACAGTCACACACACACAGTCACAGTCATACACACAAACACAGTCACACACACACAGTCACACTCTCTCACACACACACACACAGTCACACTCTCACTCACACACACAGCCTCACTCACACACACAGTCACACTCACTCACACACACAGCCTCACTCACACACACACACACAGCCTCACACACAAACAACCTCACTCACTCACACAGCCTCACTCACACACACACACACACACAGCCTCACACACACAGACTCACACACACAACAGACTCACATTCACACACACACGCCTCACTCACTCATTCACACACACAGCCTCATTCACTCACACTCATTCACACACACACAGCCTCACTCACACTCATTCACACACACAGCCTCAAACTCACACATACACAGCCTCACTCACACTCATTTACACACACACACAACAGAGGCTCTCGCATTCTCACACACACAGCCACACTCACTCACATGCACACACAAACATTCACACTCAAATCACAGAGACACATACAATAGAGACTTTCACATTCACACTTGCACACACACACACAACCAGACACAGTTACACATACAGACTCACTCACACTTATTCACACTTGCACACACATACATTCACACTCGAACCACAGAGACACATACAACAACAACAAAACAAAATTACATTTATAGAGCACCTTTCACGTCAGGAGGATGTCCCAAAGCACTGGACAGTCAGGGGTCAGGACCCGAGCATGGGGGAGGGGTGGTGAAGGGGTGAGGGAAGGCGGAGAGGTGGGAGGGCGACTGAAGGCACGATCAAAAAGAAGGGTATTGAGACCGGCCTTGAAGGAGGCAAGGGAGGAAGTGAGGTGAAGGGACTGCGGGATGGAGTTCCAGTGTGTGGGGGCAGAGAGGCTGAAAGCCCGGCCACCGATGGTAGGGTGGGTCGGGCGGGAGACATGGAGCAGACCGGAGCCCACTGAATGGAGGGAGCGGGCAGGTTGGTAGGGAGTCAGCAGCACAGAGAGGTAGGAGGGGGCAAGACCATGGATGGCCTTGAAAGTGAGGACGAAGATCTTGAATTTGATCCTCTGGGGGATGGGGAGCCAATGGAGTCGCGCAAGGGTGGGAGTGATGGGGTCATGGAGCTTGGTGTGCAAGAGTACACGAGCTGCAGAGTTTTGGATGATCTGCAGCTTGTGAAGGGAAGAATTGGGAAGGCCGATGAGGAGGGAGTTTCCATAATCAAGCCTTGATGTGACGAATGCATAGGTGAGGGTTTCGGCAGCATGAGGGGTGAGGCAAAGACTTTCACATTCACACTTACACACAAACACACACACAATCAGACTCACTCACATTCACACACTCATACATTCACAAACATAGAGCAGGCAGCTTTGATCGCATTTGGCAAGCTTTCATGCAGCCAGACAAACCCAACCTGTGCTGCTTAAAACTTACAGCACCTTCAGTAATGCAAGTGAGAGTGAGATCTAAGATTTCGTGCAGCTCAATGAAAACTACTCACTAAACATGGAGGTGCCTTTCTATGTTTTTTTCCAGAGTGAAATCCATCTAAACAAGATGAGTTTCTAGGATAATGTAAGGGCGTTGCTTGAAACTGTTTCCCCTCCTTCTTGATGTTAATATGATTCCTGATTTCTTGCAGAATATGCTTTTAAGGCTATAAACCAAGGTGGCCTCACTTCAGTTGCTGTCCGCGGAAAGGACTGTGCTGTGATAGTGACACAGAAGAAAGTGCCGGTAGGTTCCAGACTGTTAACTATTGGGAGGACCTCTGAGTAGGAGACAGTGCTGGGATGGATTAGCGGGCCCATTGAAAGGAAATATAATTACTAAGGATGTTTAAAAAAAGGCATCTACTGAGGAACTGAAAAAGTTTCAATATCATTGGTAGAGGTATCGTTCTAGACCAGGGCATTTGTTTGTAGGTTATTCTGCTGCCAAGCAAACATTTTAAATAATGACATCATCAATAATTAAATGTGCCTAAAATAATATAATATATATGGGTTGAGAACAATAAGATTATGCTATACTTCCTCACTTCAAGGGTTGAAAATATAAATTTATTTATTGAAAGTGCAATGTAAATAGAACTTGTTATGATTATCTGTGAGATACAAATGTATCCACAAATGAGGTTGGCAATGATGAGTTGGATATTGTCCTGAGTAGAGAGAAAGAGAGATTACTGTGGCCCATTGCTCATCAAATCCAACTCTTTATTTGTTTGATGGCGGGTATTGTTTAGGCCAAGGAAACCTTTGGTTGGGGAAACATGTCAAATTCAAGTTCAGGGTTAACACATTGATCAACACATCACAAATCTGAATGTTATTTAAGAGACAGGAAGAAACAAAACTAAACAAGCTGACTAAACTAAGATAAAACATCAATTTATCTGCAATTTTAATCTTAATGAGCTTGGCATGAAAGCTCATACGTTCAGAATGAAAGTACAACCACTGGATAGTGAACTGTTTTGTAAACGGGACGTGGAGTTAGAATATAAAACTTGGGAAAGTATTGTTATTTCCTTTCTGTGGATTTGTTGTGTAATGGACCACAGTGTAAATGAACGTTTTTGTCAATGCAAAATTTCCCTGTGGTTTTAGAGAACTGAAATTGATATCCTGAGTTTAAAGGCTGGTGATTTTCCCCGCTTCAAAATAACAAGAATTGCTCAGCTCACAGACTCACAGAATACATCTGCAGAGAGTCAGTCTGGTTGCTGGGAGACCGAAGGGCCATGGGTCTTCAGCAGACTGCATACTGGTTATTTTCAAAGTTTGGAGTTTCTCCAAATGAATAAGAAATAAAAGCTATTTACTGCATCATTTACTGGCAGAGGAGCAGCTTAAGTGTGACATATGCTGTGCCCTTTGCTATATTTCTACAGTTCACAGCACAGTTTTCATAAAAGGCTTCTCTAAAGAGCCCAGAGCACACAACATTTTAAAATTGAGCCAGACACATTGTCAGTGCTGATTCCAAGCTGAGAATCCCCTGATCACTGGCTCACCATGTGCAAAATAGAAGCACTTCCTCAGAGGCAACTGGAGCTGTTGCCCTTTCAAAGTTTGTACTGCATTAAAAAGGCCACGGAGACCTACTTGACGATCTGCCTGTTGTTCAGAGGCTGCATTCTACGAATGTCTCCACTTATTGGAATGGCTGTCTGCTGGACTTCACAAACAAGCCTTTTAACAAGGGATTATCCAAGACAGCAGAAGTGTATTAAATACATAAGCTGTGGGATCTTAAGGAAGAAACTGCTTCTCCATTTCATCCGTTGAAATGTCAGGATGCTATATATACTTATTTTTAGTTTTTTTTATTTGTCCAAAGGACTTTTTAAAAAAATATATTATTTTGAAAGATAAATAACTTTTAAAATGGATGGTTTGAATCCTCATTTTGTAAACTTTCTACCTGGTGTTCAACAATATATATAGCACCCAAACTTGTGTGTTGCTTGCGAGGTGAGCGTGCTAAGCACTACGCTACAGGACTCCACACAGTTGAATGAGATGGTACAAAATGGCTTTTTGATTTCCTTGGGTCTAACTTAGCTTAATTCTTTTGTCTTCAAATGTCCAGTAAGATGTTTATTAAAATTGTTTATTAAAATTGATGATCATTTGTGCAGTACTGAGAGAGGAGCCTCTGTGATGGCCAGTATTTCTGTAATTCTATTTAAGAGCAAATTCCATTTCAGAAACTTGGCTTAACTGTGTAACCTATCTTGCCTGATCCAGTCTACGCCCTCAGTTGTGCACCGTCTTTGAACCTTGACATGTTGACTGGTCATGTTCTAGGCCAAGCAACGGTGCTGACAGCAAAACTTGTTCATAACTGGAGCTTCTCAGGAAATGGCACTGAGTTGTTCTTTTAAAAGCAAGCTACATTCTGAGCAGAACAGGTAACCAATTTTTGCGAACGGAGGAGTCCATTTTCCAAGAAGGCAGATTTTTCTTGGAGAACTGTTTTTTAAAAAGGGTTGACCAAATGCTTCAAATTATTTGTTTCAGTGGGAAGTCCGCGTTGCATCGAGAGAGCTTGAACAGTCCTACGCATTCTCTCTTTAGAATCAAACTCAAACAGGCATCGCTTGTCACAGTAAATCAGCTGATCGTGACCCGAGCAGACCCTTTGAGTAACTTTAAGATGAGATCTGCACTTCAGTGCTCTGTATTTAATGTGACCTTGCAATTTTCTGTGTTCCAGGATAAGTTGCTGGATGCCAACACAGTCACTCACCTGTTCAGAATAACTGAAAAAATAGGATGTGTAATGACAGGGATGACAGGTAATGAATATCTGTAACACCATATGGAAAGGAACTAAATAATTATCTTCCCTTTGACTGCTTCCATCTTTACTTGTTTAGTGATGGTTGTACTGTGCTTGGTATTCCTAGAAACCAAGTAAAGTCATTTACTGTCTTTTCTGTTATTCAATAACTATTCCTAGTAATTGAAAGAAAGGATTTGCTAAGGGGGACAAACAACAATTTGCATTTATTTAGTGCCTTCACGTGGGGTAGTGTCTGAGAGCACTTAATGGTGGCGGAGCATGACTGAGCTGGAGGGAGACGTGACCATAGGCATGGTTGAAGAGGAAGGTTGTGATCTGAAGACAGTCAAGAAGGGGCCAATGCGAAGGGATTGAGGCAGGGAATTTGAGTTTCGGGGTGTAGTGGCTAAAAGCATGCCCACCAATTGTGGAGCGGATGGATTGAGGGTCTAAAGAGGGCAGAGCCAGCTGAGTGAAGGGGGCAAGTAGAGGACTGGGGTGTGAGAAGGCCAGAGAGATGGGAAGTTGCTAAATAAATAGCGCAAAGAGCTGGACATTTATTTCCTGGTACTCTTTATAAGTAGACACCGCCATGCCAAAATAAAAGTGTTGTTCCACATTACTTTGGTTTGTTTGCAAGTGTATGTTATTTGTTTCTCTTTCATCTTGAGGATTTTCTTATTTGTTCACAGCTGACAGCAGGTCCCAGGTTCAGAGAGCCCGCTACGAAGCTGCAAACTGGAAGTACAAGTACGGTTATGAGATCCCAGTGGACATGCTGTGCAAACGGATTGCCGATATTTCCCAGGTGTACACGCAGAACGCTGAAATGAGACCACTCGGATGTTGTAAGTACCTTCTGCACTTCTATTTGAACTCTTTAGAGTTTTGCTCCAGATTGTATTTACACAGTCCTTGCCTTGATCCATCGAACAATGGTCCATTATTGCCAAGAATTGTAACTTGCACAAATATTTTTTGAGAACCAATAATATAGATTTGTCTAAGCAGCATTCAACTGATGATCCTTCATTTCCTTAAAAGGGGTGTTGCTATCGCATTTAAAACGCATTTTCTATGGTCATGTAGAATTAGTTCCACTCTTGAGATTGTGCAGGAGACCCATTCCAAGCCCCTTACTAACATTGCATCAGCAGATCTGCTAGAAAGATCTGCTGGTTTCCATTTTTTTCTTCATCTTCGTCCTAGCCTCCTCAGAGCCCCGATGGCATTGCTAAATGGACAATTGGAAGTACTTTCATTCATTCCTTGACACTTCCTACCAGTACACCATGCCTGTCCTACTGCCACTACCAAAACATGTTGTACTCAGGTATAATTTAACTGATTTCACCAGAAAAATAATTGAAATTACCCAAAGTGATTAACTTNAAAGGTAAAAATAACCCACTCATTGTGTGTGAGAACATGGACACATCTAACCTTCAGTTGGCCTTACATTCTAAGAGACAGAGTTCTAGATCTTAGTATTATCCAGATTTCTAACTTGTCAGGTACTGGATTGACATGTCATGCATTTTGTGTAGGAATTTATGTGCTCCACTTTTGCTATTCGGTTTCAGCCTGGCTCGTTGACTTGCTAGTTGTTCGGGGGACATTGATGTGCATAAATTGGCAAAAGAAATACAAATACATTGCACTTTACAGTAAAATCTTTTGAGGTGCTTTGAGATGTCCTCCAGACGTGAATGGTGTATTAAATGCAAATGCACAGATTTGTATTTTTTCTTTCTCAAAAGCAGGGACTTTCAAAGCTAAGTCCAGATGTCAGGCAATCCATCTTAATACTGCGCAACCCGAGGTGAAATATCCTCATGGGTTTTGATTTCAATAGCCTGAGGCTCCTACGTGGGGAATGTGCAACTGTGATCTCTGGGTGGTGCCGGCTGCTCGCAAACAAAGCATCATTTTTAACTTGAAAACTCGCGTTCAGGTGTTTCGACTTTTTGGACTATTTCAAACCTTTTCAGTTCCAATCCTGTTGCACTCAGTGAACAACTACTTGGTCTTTTCTTAGCATTTGTTGTTCACAATTATGATATGAAACACCAAGCAAGGGGAAAAGAGAATCTAAGAAGTAGATGTCAAACATGGCCACGGAGATATCTTTTTCAGAGGGTTTTAAGGCAGGGTAGAAAGGAAGTGAGGTTTTGGAGGAGTTGCAAAGGGCATGGATATGCAAAGAGCAGAAGGTGGAACAGAGGGAGTGAGGAAAGAGCAGTACAAAATAAACAGTCAATCCACTTGACAATATATCCTGTGAAGTGCTTTGAGATGTCTCAACAACGTGATAAGGCCTGATATCAAATGCAAGGATTATTATTCTAGATCAGAATTGGAGGAACAGAAGATATGAGCAGGAGAATAAGATTGAGTTGCAGACTAAGTACCTGATGGTTGGATCCATGGTGAACACACTCTCTTGTGTTCTCTCTGTTTCAGGTATGATCCTGGTTGGTGTTGATGAAGAGCTCGGCCCTCAGGTTTACAAGTGTGACCCAGCCGGTTACTACTGCGGTTTCAAGGCCACCGCTGCAGGGGTCAAACAGACAGAAGCCACCAGCTTCTTGGAAAAGAAAGTGAAGAAAAAACTTGACTGGACATATGACCAAACTGTTGAGGTACAAAAAAAATGCAAGGATGAAAATGGCGACTTGAATTTTTTATTTTGCCGTTGGTTGCTCATGGAGTAAGACTGATTCCTTAATGTGTGTTGAGAAACAAATCTTAACTTTTCAAGCTTGCATTGATTTATTGATTTTAAAATAATATTTGTTTTTTGCTGCAGACTGCAATAACCTGCCTTTCCACGGTGCTGTCCATTGATTTCAAGCCCAGTGAAATAGAAATCGGAGTGGTATCCGTGGATAACCCTAAATTTAGGTAAACGAAGCCTTTTACAACTGAACCACATTGAATGCTGTTCACAGTTTGTGTTGGACTGTGAAGTAGCGGATCTGTTTAAGTGAGCATCTGTAGCTCAATAAATTAACTTTCCTGATGCATTCGGCTGCACATTGAGGAAATGGGCGTAAGGGCGGCAGAATGTTGCTGAAATGTGCTTTTTGGAAATGAGCTAACTAATGTGCTGCACACTATAGCAAAAATGGGTAGTGCAGGGGTATTTGAGCACCTGAGCAGTGGCTCTTCCCCTTTCAACTGTGGATTGCTTCTACTTTAAAGATTTCTTCAGTTTGACTGAACTGTCACCAGTTCCTGTTTCTATGAAGTGAGGATGTTCTCTGAAAGTCTGCTGCAATCGCATTCAGTCACTAGCCTATAGTGCAACCCTCTGAAACTCAGAATCCCTTCGCCTCAACCCTCCCTTGTCCTCTTCAAGGCCTGTCTCAAGACTTCTTTGATCTTTCTGCCTTGGGACTTCCTTCCGTGAAAGGTGCTACATAAATGTAATTTTGTTGATATTGTTGTTCCCTCTCAACTGAAGAACAGATGATTAAAGGATATGATAGAATTGTGTGATTTGTGTTAGCGATGATCTTGCAGAAATCTCCTGTATCCACTCTTTTTATAAAATTACCATTATCCTTAGCAAGTTCAGCATTTATTAATAAGATGCTTTAAATATTTGAATTCTCTGACATACACTTTGAAGAATGCCTAGTTATGATCTGAATGTGTTTGATCTCAAGTTTTTAGAATATTTTTCAGCCTTTGTAGGTTCCACTCCCCAGCTGCTAAAACATGCTTTTCTCAGTTCATTTTCCTTAATTCGGGAGTGGTGCAATAAGTTAGCAAAATGGCCTTTCACTGCTTTGTACAAACAAAGACTGTGCTTTCAGTCAACTCGCCCTTCCTGACCCCCTTTCAGCTCCACCCCCAGCTCAGTTACTCAGCCAGCAGTGTCGTGCACTTTGAGACATCCTCCTGACGTGAAAGGCGCTATATAAATGTGTAATGTATTGTTAACCATTCCAGATCTATGGGGTAAAAGTGGCTTCTCAATCTGCGTTAAGTGGTTTTGAATCATAGATGAAATGGGTTGTTTGGAATCGGTCCAATTCCTGTTGGACACAGACTCACTGCACAAGACCTTTAGTAAATCAGTTTTTATTTCTTATTGTGTCCATATGTATTGTGGTATTGTAACATTTCTCCTGAAAAACCTACTATTGTCTTTTTATTTTAGGATTCTTACAGAAACTGAAACGGACGTACATCTGGTGGCTCTAGCAGAGAGAGACTGAAACTCTCATTTGTTTAAGAACCCAGGTTTGTTATGTAAAGACGATGTTGGTGGGAAAACTAGATTGCAGTCGTAGAACGTCCAATAAACACTGTATTTTACTCTATTCAATAAAGCGGAGGTTTTGGAACATGCTGTTGATTGAAGTGTTTCTACACGTACACACTCACTCATACATTCGCACGCACGCAAAAATATACACGTACACAAACACGCATGCAAAGGAAAGCTTCAAGCGTCCTCCCTGAAGGGATTGTGATAGACGAGCTGGTTAGAATCTGCAGCTGGGAAGCTTGCCAAATAACAATTGTAGAAAGCTGGGAAACCGCAGGAGGAAGGAAAGTCTGTGTAGCATTTACTTTACTTAGCAGTCATTGAAGTAGTGGAAGGTTACAATCCTGTCTGATTTTGCTGGGAGATAGAATCCAGACTCTGAGCCATACTGACGAGCAATCTGAAGTCTGCTTGTCTTTCCATGGCTTAAAATTCACCAAAAAAATACACAGTCAACTCACTTTATAGTGTATTCTGTGAGACACTTTGAGACGTCTCAACAGTGTGATAAGGTAATGTCTCAAATGCGAGGAATATTTTAAAAATTAAAAAACAACACTGAAGGCATATTCGAGAACACATGGCTGACGTATTTCCAGGTCTTAGTCACTTTTAAACCACTGACTCCTGGTGTTTACCACACTGGCACCACTGAGACGAGGTCTTGGAATGTGTTACAGTCAATTGAACATAGGAAAACAAAGTAGGGGGTTTTATATTGCTTGTAATGTCAGTGTCTCGAAAGCACTTCACAATAATTGCTGTTATGTAGATTTTCTTTTGCCTAGCTTGGCAGTTGTTTTGCACATTGCAGAGTCCTACGAGCAGCCATGAATTGAATGAATATTTAATCTGGAGGAATTAGTGTCCAGGAGAATTTTTATTTGAATAGTCTGAAGGTATAAGACAGGATGTTCAATATCCCTGCCAAAGGAAAGCACCTCCAACAATACAGCATTTGCCTGTTGTTTACTGGAGTGCCAGCTTAAGACTATGAGCTCCATTCCTGACAGGTTTAAACCCACAATCTTCTAGCCTAGTGGTGAGACTCTGTGACGGCCTCCGCCACTGTTAAGCGCTCCGAGTAATGGATACCTCGTGTGAAGCGTACAATACAAATGGAAGTTTTGGTTATTCATGCAAGTCAATGCTGGGACTTGGTGTAAATATTATTGAACGCTGCTCTGCTACTTACACTGAGCAATGCTTCTTGGCAAACTTGTTTCTCCAGTTTCACATTTGAAGCCAACATATTAGATCATTTCCACAAAACAAAGAAGAAAAAGTCCCAGATATTGTTCCTGGTTATGTTGCTTTAATCTTCCTGTGCAAGAATTATGGTGCGGAAAGAAAGAAACTAAATGTTTGTCTGCTGATCAAAATACCGGTATATGTTTTTTAATACTCCATAGTTAAATCTAACAAGCCTGTCACCCTTGGAAATAGCTGTGGAAATATCTTCCAGCTTGGCGACATTTTTAAAAGCTGCTTAGTTTCACATAAGCCTGGACATTGCATGATGGCAAGCTGTTCGATTATGGGGAACAGCACAATTGAGATAAATTCTGTTCTAACCTGTTGTGCACAGTTCCCTTTCAGTAAGGGCTATCATCAATAATTGGGAGAATTAACTGGCTGATTTTGCTCTCTCTCTACTACCAAGGGCTTATTTGGAATTTGTGCAAACATAATCATATCCTCTTTACATCTCCCTGCTTCGATGGCTTGGTGTATTTTAATGATCTGTGATAAATTTTATCCTGAATACTAATTTCGTTTTTTTTCTTAAAAAGCATTATTTAAATTTTTTTTTTTTTTAATTGGACCCAGTTTATGAATCAGATAATAGTGAACCACACCAATAGGTGTAGATTTAAATGTCATAAATGAATAGAATTGCTCTGGTTATAATAGAATTGCCAACTCACAATGGAAATGTCAGTGCTTTCATTTCCTGCTGATTCAGATGTAAGGAGCATTGAGACAATACAAACCAACACTTTTGTCAGGCCATACAGTGCATTTGCGAACTATTTCCTTTCAGAGTACGTGAATCTATCTCTGAATTACATGTCTTTGTGCAGCGTGTATTTGTTCCAGGCTCCGGGACGCTATATAGATGCAAGTTGTTGTTGTTCCCCTTCCTGGTCTATCTTGGAACTACACCAAGAAGTTACATTGCGTATCTGTTTTTTAATGTTTGAACATCTTGTTTTCTAAAGCTAGTCAGTTGTTGCTGTATTTACAAGGGTTTGAAATTGTAGCTGCATGAAATTGTTACCATCTTATTAAAACACGAGTGTATCAAAAAAGCTGGCTAAATGAAACGTAAACCAGTGACTTAAGCAAGCTTGAGGAATAATGGAATACACGTAACAAAGCATTCTTGAGGAATAATGGGAAGTCCCGAAGGTGGTTTGCGTTGAATACAGTCAAAATGTGGCAACAATCCCAAATTCGAAACATGAAGTTATCTTGGAAGTGCTGTTGATCACCAAATAACTGGTTAAATCTTATCCTAAGCAGGAATAGTTTGATTTCTCCACAAGTGTTTCTCTTATATCAATTACATATGAAACTAAATACAAATGCAAACTAAACAAATCAAGGTTCTTCTGTTTATTTAGAGAAGCTACTGTGAAGTGCGAAAGCAGTAACGTAGGAACAGCCCATCAAGTCTGTTCTGCCATTTTATTAGATCAAAGCAAAAAAAATTATTCCATTTCTCCATCATTGCTATATGCATTAATACTTCCCAAGCATGTGTCTTTTAAAAATCTGATCAGTATAGCCTTTTGATGCAATATAGTCCACATTTGGTATATTCTGCTTACAATTTTATGATGAAGTGGGTTTTCTTGGAAGTGGCAGGTGTTGTTCTCTGATTAATTATGAAATTTCCAAAACAGATCATATGGAACAATTACTTTTGTTGGGTACTTTACAATGAAGTGCATGCGAGCTGTAAAAAAAGGGGAAATGATTTACTGCAGGCACAGATTATTTTTTTTAAAAATAAGGAAATCTAGAAGCTGGAGGCTTCTATCTCTTTACACTTACACATACTTAATTTGAGAATAACTAATGCAAGATAGAGTTTACATCACAACATCTTATGTGAATATTTTAGATCGGAATAAAGATTAACATTTGGGCTGATAAGATCAGTGGCTTCAAAACACACAGCAGCATTTCTTATTATTTATCACAAGTTGGGGAATACATTTTATGTGTGCTTTGGTTTACATTTTTCTGTTGCCAGCACCTTTAACTCCTGAGTTGCCGATGCACTCTCTTGTGGAGGGACAAAGAGATTCATCTTGTTCCTGCACATTTATTCAATCATTTGCAGCTGAGCATTGAGAAATTCTGGTGACATTATGTACCACGCACATTTTAATTAGTTACTGAACTCTGTGGGTTGAAGGATCTGGGAAATCCTTGTTCATTGGTACTGTTTATCAATTTCCACACATTAAAGTTCATTTTCAAACCCTAGTTGACATTTAAGTATTTGGGTGGATTTTCAAGGACATCTTATGTGCATTGTGTAGCACTGATAGAAAAGTTGCTGACACTGAGATTAATTGAATATGCCAAGAGGAAGAACAGGAGGCAGAATTCAAAAGTAACCAGAAATAAAATAACATTTATCCTCTGTTTAAAGTTATGCAATGTTAAACAGCCTGAAATTCCGTTTGAAAGTGATAATCATCCCTTGCTTGATTTCGCTTTCCTTTTGTTAGTTTTTTTTTCATATTGTTTAAAAGGAGAAAGATGAGAGAGTTATCTTGTAACTTCTCTGTTACAATTTACATTTTCAAGTTTGCTGTACTGAGTGTAACTGAAAAACAACCAAACTGACCATTTATAATGTAATGATCAACTTGTAACTTAAAGTAAAGTGGGGGCGCCATCAGTTCCAGGTAGATCATGAACATAAACAATTGGCTACAACATGTGAAAGAGGAATATATACAGAATAGCTTAAATGCTTTCAACAAATTGCAAAGTGTAACCACAGAGTATAAGTTAACTTTGTAGCCACATCATTATTGAGGGCAACTCAATGCCCAAGGCATATTTCAGTCTTGTTTTCATTTATTTGAAACATGGAACCAAAGCTCAACCTCACTAATATGGGCAAATGGTTGATTTTCTGTCCTTTATAGTGGGTTTCCAGCCTGAAGTTTGAAATCTTGATGTGGATTAAATGTGAGGTTATTGGCAATCACTGACTCTTCATAGAACACATTAGTCACGCTGTGGGTGTGTATCCATTCACATTCAGCAACATAAAGCCCATTCCATCAGTTTAATAGATCTTGTCAGTTCTTGAATCTGAATGTCCCACCCTTTCACCTTCCCACTTAATACCTCTGTTCAGGTTACAGATTACAATGAGGCTAGAGGCAACTTGACATGATTTAGCACCTGGAGGTGGAGGCAGCTTCATGTGACTCAGCACTCTGAAGTGGAGGTAGTCTCACTTTCCAAGTATCTGGGATTTCCTTAAGACTGTGCTGGTTCCAAGGTGATTTTTTTTGTGGTGGTCAGCCAGGTCTCTGACATATGCGGAAACCCATCACAGTGTTTAAGAGTAAACAAACCAAACTGAGAATTCCATGCATCCCACCTACACATGGAAATTCCAGAGATAGATTATTAGAATGTAATGCACACTCTCCTCCTGGAGGACGCATCCTGCTTACCTAATTCTGGAAAGTATTAGATGCAGGTTGGCAAGAGCCAAGGCTTGGGGGCCCCAGAGTGTGTGTTGGCTTGAACTGGTGTTTAAACTCCAAAAGTTACCTAAAACACACATCTGGGATCCAAAGTCTTGGCTCCTGCCTAATAATCTATGTGGAATTAGGTAAGCAGGGTGCGTCTCTCTGGGGGAGGAAGTGTACAATCCATTCCAGACATAGGGAGATTTTCATGTGGAAGTGGCATGCATGATGTGGACCTATCAGTTTGGTTTGGATACTCTTAAGCAAGGCAATGGGATTTTCGCATGTGTCAAGACACCTGGCTCACCAAAAAAAAACAACCATGCAAGGTTCTGTTCATG